GGGGGGAGCACAGGGGCAGGGAGGGGGAGAGTCGGGGCAGGGAGCGGGGGGAGGGGCGAGTGGGGGAGGGGAAGAGTCCGGACAGGGAGCGGGGGGAGGGGCGAATGGGGGAGGGGAGAGTCCGGACAGGGAGCGGGGGGAGGGGCGAGTGGGGGAGGGGAGCAGGTACGGGCGGGCGCACCGTGTCGGGCAATGGTCTGGGGTATGGGACGCGCCAGTCCCGGTTATGGTCCGGGTCACCCTTCTGGAGGCAGTGTGGTAGCGTCGCCGCAGCGAATGCTGGAAACGCTCAGGACACCGGGCGGGACGTGGAGGCGGCGCCGGGCAGGTGTTCTCGGGACCCCACGGGACCGAGCAGGACTCAGCCCCTGAAAGGACGTGCAGCCAGAGCAGCCTCGGCACCACGCCTCGGCCTGAGAAGGGTCCGCCGCCCTCCGCTGTGCTGCTTGGGGGTGGGGGGTGGGGGGGAGCAAGCAGCCCCTCTTTCTCGGCTGGCGAGCAGCCCTCCCAGGACTTCACGGCCCACACCGGGGCGCACGGTCACACCTCAGCCCGGCTGGAGGCCCGGTGATCAGGGGTGCAGGCCAGGGGCGCCCTTCTCTGCGCCTGCGTGGGCGTCCCGGGATCCACCGTCACAGATGACGTCAAAGAACACGCGTCCCCTCCTGCTCTGCCCTCGATCCCCAGGGCCACCCTGTTCCCGTCCCTGGGGCCACCGGCGGCCCGAGTGCGGTGTGCGCATCCGCCGACCCCGTCTCCACGTGTTGTTAGCAAGAAGCGCACGTGCAGAAACGGCCACACCTCCTGGCACACAGCTCTGGAGTTTCACAAACGAGTAACCGTGTGGGTCAGGTTGCTGAACGGGCCCAGCCCCTGCCGGGTCCCCATCCCCACTCCTCACCCCTCCCTGGACTCCAGCTCCTGCAGCCACTGATTTGTCTTCCACCCACACAGTTCCGTGTCCACAAGAACGTGTATGAGCATAGCAGTATTTGACTGACTTCACCAGCAAAGCCGTCTGAGCCTTAGATTTTGTTGTCTTCAGGCTCTGAACCAGCATCACGTATCTGTAGTTGACACAGAACTATTCGGACCATGTATTCCTTTGTGAGTTTTGCAATTACTTTTTTGGAGACTGTCCAGACCGTGTCAAAAGTGCGTGCACGGAGTAGTTCGCTGCGTCCCCTTGCAGCCTGCGTGCCCATCAGGTGGTCTGTGCCCCCCCCCCCCAGCTGGTGCCTGCCGTCCGCAGGCCCCCGCCCCTCCTCAGCTGCTCACACGAGAGGTTAATCAATCCTAAGGATAGTTTTCAAAGACACCACTGTTGGTTTGGTGGGTTTTCCTCTCTTGCATTTTTATTCTCGATTTTGTTGACATGGCCTCTTCTGATCCGCCAGTCACCTCATCCTCTGGCCGTGCCCTTCGTTTGCCCTTTGTTGTTTAACTTCTGAGAACGTAGCCTTCGTCATTGGCTGAGGCCTTGACACAACTGTTTCGTGCTATGAATTTTCCTGTGAGCACAGAGTTGGCTGTGTCTACGGTGTCTGCATGTTGCTCTCATTTTCAGGAAGCAAACATATTTTCTAACCTTTCTTGTGATTGTGACTTCTTCAAGCCACATACTGCTTTGAAGTGCATAGTTTGGTCCAGCTGCTTGGGGATTTTCCAGAGAATTTTCTGCTATTGATTTCTAATTGATTTTTTTTAATGATCTGAAAACATCCTTTTTTTCCCCTAATTTCAGTCCTTTTAAACTTGTGAAGCCTTGTTTCATGACCTAGCCTGTGGTCAGTGTTGGTGAATGCCTCGTGTTTCCTTTAAAAGCGTCTATTCCCAACAGGTGTCTTCTAAATGTCAGTGAGGTCATGTTGGTGGTACTGATCAGGGCTTCTATGACTCTCTGACTTTTTTGCCCACTTGTCCCATGGGTTCATCAGAGAGGAAGGGTGGTGATGTCCTCGGGTAATGGTGGATCTCTCTCCATTCAGGTCTACTGGGGTGTTTGGTGTATTTTGAAGCTCTGCTGTTAGGTGCTTATACGTTTAGGATCGTCTCATCTTCTCGGAAAACTGACCCTGTGTCCTTCCACGTCCCTGTTCCTGGTGGGAGTGTGTGTTGTGCTGAAGTCTGACCCGCTCCACTTTCCACGTGGCTTTCTTAGAGTTTGCAGGTCACAGGGTCATGCGTGTCCTTGCTGATGCTTGCTGTCTCTGGGCTTGGCATCCGAGGCAGGGCCTTGGTGCAGGGCTGAGGAGCTCGCCTTCCTGTGGGTGCCCCCGGAGAGTGGGTGTCACCCGCGGGAGGAGGTGCCGGTGCCCTCACACCTTCATGGCTCCATCTGGGAAGATATGACTCTCATGGGTTTTAGTCCCCAGTCCTGTTCTGTGTGCGGAGAAGTGCACTGTCCATCCCCGTGACCCTTCTCACGTGGTCCAGTGTCCGCTGGTTCCAGGGCAGCCTCTTGTGGAAGTGTGGCATCTGCGTGTTTCGTAGATGCACAGAGGAGCCACACGGAGCCCGGCAGCCGGCGTGGCTGGCTGTCCTCGAGGCCCTGGGAGCATCAGGCTACGAGGCAGGGCTTTAGTGCCTCAGACTAACAGGGTTGAGTGGCCCCGGCTGTGCTCTCTGGTCTCTGCTGGGTGCCCCCATCCCTGCATGCAGGGTGGACCGTGCATCCCAGAAACTGCCTCTGAGCCACTGTCCCTGCAGCTTGGCCGTCAGGCTTGGAGCCACCCTGGAGATGCGCCCGTGAGCCTTTCCTGTCCCGCCCTCGGCTTCCGTGGCAGAGCCTCAACTGCACTGCATCACTCTAAGTCTGCGTGGGGGTGGCAGCAAAAGTGCCACCGGTGCGTGCTTCCCTACGGGACGTGGGCCCCTCCAGGATGGCCGCGTTTCTCATCTGCTCTGTCCATGGCTGACAGTACCATTAAAGCTGAATGTAAAACAAAGCGAAACTACCACCTTTTAGTGTGTCCATCTTTAGGAAAGCTTTCCCCAAGGACCCACCTTTGGCTGAAGAAAGACCTGTCTTTGCCGATAAGTCAAAGTTGTGACTTTGGGAGGAAGCATGGAGACACCATCTGAGGAATTAAAAAATACAGAGTTACACCGAAGAAAAGTGTAATCGTTGGTACTCTTACCATAAGAAGGAATCATCACAGTTAATGTTGAGCAAGTTTGTTTCCAGCCACTTTAAGAAGGGCTACGAGTCCCATTGATCTGTAACAAAGTAAAATGTTAAAAAAAAAAAAAGTAAAATCCCTTTGGCTGTTATGTCTTCTCCTCTCTCTGGAGGTAACCAGTCTGGGGAGTTCTCAGTAATTCATGTGTAAGTTACGGCTAAGTTCAAGGAGAACACATGATCTTGTTCTGCTTCACACTCCATGCGCCCCGACTGCCCCCCCACCGTGCCTCGACTGCTCCCCCCATGCCCCGACTGCCCCCTGTGCCCCGACTGCCCCCTGCGCCCTGACTGCCCCCTATCCCCTGACTGCCCTCCATGCCCCGACTGCCCCCTGTGCCCTGACTGCCCCCCATCCCCCGACTGCCCTCCATGCCCCGACTGTGCCCTGTGCCCCGACTGCACCCTGACTGCCTCCCAAGCCCCAACTGCGCCCTGGCCCCGACTGCCCTCCGTGCCCTGACTACACCTGTGCCCCAACTGTGCCCTGCACCCTGACTGTGCCCTGGCCCCAACTGTGCCTCGCACCTCCACTGCCCCCCATACCCTGACTGTGCCCCGTGCACAACGCATTAGGGCTCTGTTTTACCCATGTTGATACGCATCTCTCACCGACACACTGCATTTTGTCACGTCTCTGCCATGCTTTGCTCACCCAGTGCCCCATGGCGGGCACGGGGCTGCTTTAATGTTCTGTGGCATCACCTGTCGTTCAGCAAGGACCCCTGGGCATGTCCCCTGGGAGCTTGTCGTCCCTGCAGAGCTCTCTGGAGGTGAGGCCTGGTCCCAGGTCTGGGATGAGCACGTCTTGTTTTTTGGGCACACGCTCCAGAGTGTGTGAGCCGGGCGGTTCCTTGCTCTCCTGTCCCGGGTCCTGTGCTGCCCGGCCGCACCAGCACGTCCACTCTCTCAGCCGGCTGCTCCTCTCTCCTGTGTCCCCAGCTCCGGAGAAGGGGTCTGGTCCAACCAGGGCTGTGTGCTCATGGAAGGGAACCTCACCTACTCCCTCTGCCGCTGCACCCACCTCACCAACTTCGCCATCCTGATGCAGGTGGTCCCGCTGGAGGTAAGAGCCAGGCGCCGGGGTTCGCGGACCCGACAGAGTGTGGGCAGGTGGGACCCGTTACCTGCGAGTCCCAGGGGCGTTTTAGCCGCAGCAGGGTGGACGGCAGCCTCTGCTCGTCAGGGAGACCCTGTGATTAGGGACATTTGGGAGGCTCTACTCCTTTGGCAAACAAAACAAAACTTTGCTGCAAGCATCCTAAGGCAGCACCTGTGCAGACCCCAGATCCTTCTCAAAGATCCCTGTGCAGATGGGAGGGCAGGTGTGCCAGCATTTTCTGCCTTCAGTCACCGGGCTGGGAAGCCTGTGCTGCGGGAGAGTTGGGGTGTGTCCAGCACAGCAGGGGGACGTCCTCAGCTGTAACCGGGGTGTGTAAGTGTCCAGAGAGGGCATCAGGTGGTGTCCAGAGAGGGCATCAGGTGGTGACACACAGGTGCACATCTACACTGCATTCTCTGAGCGTTTCTGCCGAGGGACGGGGCTGCAGGCGGAGCTCTGGACTGTTTCCAGACCTGACTTACAGCTCCAGGGTTAGCAAGTGCTGTGGCGGGGAAGGGGATTTCCAGAACCTTCTGCCATCCTCCTCTCTCAGTGGGGCCATGACCTTCCCTGGAGTCTCAGGTTAAGAGAGGACGAGGGCCCTCCTGCCTGCGTTTCTCTGCTTTGGAATATTTAATCTTTATCTCCTGCCAGGCTGCACAGTTGGCCCTAAGAGCTAGACCTCCATTTATTGGTTTAAGGCAGGCAGAGCTTGGAAGAGAAAAAAGTGTTCTTTTAAAAGCGCAGATGTGTCAAGATAGGATCTTCTGAGCTGTTATCAGTCCCTGACCCCTGCGTGTGAATGACTTCCTTGGCTTCAAGAGCCCAGAGGACACGGAATTTCGCCGGTGCCGGCAGGCAGATGGGGGGAGGCAGGGATGGGTCCTAAGGCCTCGGAAAACCAGGCACCTGTTCAGGCCCGTTTCATTCCAGCCCGGACTGGGTTTTGGAGACTGAAACGTCTGACCTACAGCTTTGATTTCTGGCTCCCGCTGAAGTCGGGGCTTGCGTGGTGCTGGGCTGAGCAGAGGCCTCCTGCCCCAGCACCCCCGCTCCTGGCCCCCACTCATTGGGACAGGTCCCCAGAGCCCCCAGGCCCCTGGGCCGCGCTGGGGAACTGAACTGGGGTCTGGACACCCCACCTCTGCTGCCACGGCCTGCTCCACCCAGCCCCCCTTGGCACGTCCAGTCCACGGGGTTGTGCGGCCCCTGCCCCGGCGAGAACCTGGTGCGCGCAGGCCCGCGGAAGTCTCGTTGGGCCTGGCGTGGCTCCCGGTATCCCAGGTTGTCGCCTCAAGGCTGTGGCTCCGCGTCTGTGACCACTCCGCTTGGCACCCACCCCGGGGGTTCGGTGGGAAACTAGAGGAACAGTGCAGTTCTGCCTTTGAACAGTTTGTGTGCTGGTGGGAGGCGTAACGGCGGGTGAACGCGGAGGTGACCTCGGCAGCGGCGAGGGAAGGGGCGTGAAGACGCACGTGGGGACAGGCAGCGCTTGTGATGGTGCGGTGGGGAGGGTCCGGGGGAGAAGTGATGGTGTGGTGGGGAGGG